TTTACATTTGATTACTTTAATTTCTGTACTATTTCTTACCTGAATAAAAACTTACTTAACCTGAAAAACTTAGTTTCATAGCTCTCTTTATTCTATTGCATTTATTTGTGCTGTTGTTTGCCATTTTTTTATTTGTTCTTATTTTATTACTGACTTTTTATGTGTTTTTTATGAAAATAAAACTTTGCGTTAAAGAAAAGTAGATTTTTGTTTGTATATGCTGTCAATAATAGTTCTTAGAAAGACAATCGGAATCGGCAAAAATCGGTATCGGCAGATCACATTAACGAGAAATCGGAATCGGCCAAGAAAATTGCAATCGGTGCATCTCTATATAATTCACTATAACTTTCAGGCAGCATTCAGTACATATTGTATGAGAGTGCCTCCACAGAACTCATTCACTAACAGCACAGACACACACACACACATTTACTCGCGAGCGAGTCTGCTTGAGAAAGGCTCTTTAAAAGTGCACCAAGCAGGATTTTCAGTAACTGTTTGTAAACACAAAATTCAAACTTGGTCCCTCCTACACCGCCAGAAGCTCAGAAGATGAGTGATGAGGTGTTTCGCAAACATTTTTTCAAATATTGTGTTAATCATTCATTATTGCCATTTTTGTGTATACGAACTAATAGTTATGCTAATAATTAGATGACTGGCTGCAATTTGCAAGGGAGTTTGGCCATCCACAGTCTAGCTCGCTAATAAACAATAATTATGTGTCATCATAAAAGCATAATTACAATGCCTAGTAATCTGTCCAGTTACAGATAGCAATCAATAAGGCAACAAATGTTTTTGTGTCAAAACATGACAACTGGCCAAAGGTTGTGGTCCAGAAACAGTCCAAGCACAGCAACAGAAGAATAAAATAAAAAAATACAGGCAAACGACAATGACTCTGTAGACACACTTACATACTTATAGTGGATCATAAGTAGTAATTGGGAGGCATTATTTTTGTATTTCTGAGTCTATATTTTATTTTATTTTTTTATTTTATTTTTGTGAAAAATCCTGTATAGATCTAAAATACGTACAATGCAAAATAATAATATTAATATTAATCATTTAAAAAAAAAACATGATGTGAGGGCTTTTCATGAATCCAGACGCTGGTCTTGTTCAGGATACCTCATGTATCTCATTCATCTCTCAGTAGCAGTTTTGGAGAAGCATGCTCAAAACGCAGGTGAGCACAGGTCTGGTGTCCCTCATCACGTGTCTCAAAGCTCTTGGTTAGGTATCAGAAGCCTTTTCATTGTTACACGCCATTACACATCTCCCTAATGCTTCCAAGAACATGCACTCTCTGGCCTGGCCCTCATGTTCGCTTCCCACTCCACTGCACACCAACCAGCTCCCACGGCCAACCGTCCATCAGTGAAGCCATCTGTGAGCTCACCAACAGCCCCATTGTCAGCCTGTTCAGAGCATGCTAATGCGCTTGTTTTAGCCAGTTTTCTTCATGTTCTCATGCTGTCCTCACTTCTCTGCATGCAACACTTTCTCCAGTGAAGGAGTAGTTGTAGACAGGCAGGTTACTGCACGGACGGAGGTTAGAGCTGTCTGGAGCAACACATGCTGACTGCAATGACACTTAATTAGGGAGTCAGACTATGTAACCATGTGGTAGGTGCTTGGAAACAGGAAGCAGTTATGACAGTGTTGCTTTAGTAAGAAACGTGCCCGCTAAAAGCTCTAACACAAGGGACAGTGATACCTCTTAAATAGCCCTCATCTTGATGACTGCTTATAGACTGACAGTCATTACGTATGTGATTCGTACAAGACCCAAAGCATACTCTACACAACACAAGAGCTTCCAGCTACACAGGACTGATTTCATGTGTCACTGAGTTTCAAAATGTACAATTCATAACTCAGATGCTTTGTTAGATCATAAATGAACTGTTACATAAGTACCATATTTTCTGCCATAAACATCACGTTTTCACATCTGAAAAGTGCTGAAACTTATATAATGCAATTAACAGGCAAGCAAGCAAACTATGTGTAAAGTTCACACATTTGGAAAATGTTGAAAACTGAAATTGTTCAAAATAAAGTGATCCTGGCACACGTTCGCGCAGTTGTGACCTAATGGTTAGAGAGTTGGACTTGTAACCAGAAGGTTGTGGGTTCGAGTCTCAGGTATGGCACGAGTTGTTGGTGGGGGGAGTGAATAACCAGCGCTCTCTTCCACCCTCAATACCACGACTGAGGTGAGACCCTTGAGCAAGGCTCTGAACCCCTAACTGCTCCCCGGGCGCCTCAGCAATATGGCTGCCCACTGCTCCGGATGTGTGTTCACTACAGTGTGTGCACTTGGATGGGTTAAGTATGGGTCACCAAATTCTGGGTATAGGTCGCCATACTTCACTTTCACTTCACTTCATTGCAATACACATTAAGCGAGATGTAAAGATTGTGTTTGTGTGGAGCAGCATTTACTGTGAATTGAGCCGCTCTGCTACTGAAAACACCAGAACACAGTGTAAATAAACACAATGCCGATTCACTCAGAAAGCACTAAAGCTGTGGTCACATTTACCGTAGCTCTGTGAAATTTTGCAGGGAAAATCCTGTCATTTCAATTGGAATCTGCATGTTCAGGAGAAAAAAAGTTCTCCATGCACATTGCACTCATGTTCAAGTTGCGACATTTGTGGCATTGCGTGCATTCTTGTCTTTTTCCCAATGTTTCCACAAAAAAAACAATTCTAAGGTGGGAAGGCAATATTAGCTAATCAAAATGTATAATTCTGAGTCCAACTAATTTATCAATATGCATTCAGCTTTCTTATCATTACAGAATGCTGCAAATATCATCAGCATTTTTTAAAAGCTGAAGCATCTTAGGCTGCATAGAACAGAAAAAAAAGACCTGTGAAATCCTAAATGGACTGAAGGAGGCATGCTTACAATGCCTTGACCAGTCATTTGTGCTTATGCACTTATGTAAATTATGTCTCTGGTACAATATAGGTCTTTGGAAATATATTCACGGATGTACCCACACATCCTCAAAGACTTGACCATCTTCCGTGGCAAATGTCCAGTTGACAGGAAGATACACAAACATGATACACAAGATACCTTTGCCATCTGTGACCATCTGAGTCTGCCAGCTCTTGTGTCATCCTGTAGTTCTGCTCAATGATTCCCAAGAGCCAAAATGAAAAGATACACACGTTTTAGGAACTTATATCATCAATTCTCATGTAAACATCCTAACTGTTGATTTTTTAAAACCAATGTGACATGACATGTGGCCAAGTATGGTGACCCATACTCGGAATTAGTGCTCTGCATTTATCCCATCCAAAGCACACACACACACACACACAGCAGTGAACACACACACACCCGGAGCAGTGGGCAGCCATTTATGCTGCCCGGGGAGCAGTTGGGGGTTCGGTGCCTTGCTCAAGGGCACCTCAGTCATGGTATTGAAGGTGGGACAGTCATGGTATTGAAGGTGGGAGAGAGCACTGTGCATTCACTCCCCCCACCTACAATCCCTGCCGGTACGAGACTCGAACCCACAATCTTTTGGTTATGAGTCCAACTCTCTAACCATTAGGCCACGACTTCCCCCATTGCTGCAGCATGGAGAGTTTACTGTCCTGAAGACTTCAGTTCCAACCCTGCTCCAACACACCTGCCTGTCAAGTAACCCTAAAAACCTTGATTGCTGGTTCAAGTATGTTTGGGGTTGAAGATCCTGATATAATATCTTGGGAAAGGATGAGGTTTAGCAGAAATGGACAAGCAATGTTAGTTTTAATTTTGTTGGCCACTTCTATTTTTGGAGTGTTGCACTGTCAACCCTGTCCTGAGTGAAATCTCACCGGTCCAAATGAGATGTCCATTTCACTGCACATAACTGTATATTAAACATCAAATATGAATTGATTTGCTGTCACATTACACATCACTTCACTTTCAGTGGGCAGAGACAAATTGCTTGATTTGTCACACCTGGTTAGGACACGGTCTAATAGTCCAGGGAACTTGAGAATCAAGATTCATTTTTTAAGAAGATTTTTTTTTGAAGCTACAGCTGTCTAATGCTACAAACTTTCTGCACTTCCGACATGCAAAAACACATTTATTTGTCATCTTCATATCAGAAAATTAACCATGGTTTTACTACAAATAAAACCAAAACACCATGGTCACTATAGTTAAACCATAATAACCACAAATTAACTATGGTTTTGCTACACTAACCATAGTTTAACCATGGTATTTGTAGTAAAACCGTGGTTATACAAATGGTAATCAATACGCCAAAAAACATGGTTACTATACTTTTACTACAATCAAACCATGGTTAATTTTTGTAAGGGATGGAAAAATAACCAACATTACCGGGTGGTTGTTGGGATAATGTTGAAGTGTTGGACATAATTTCCCTGAAAAATCAGTTCGATTTTAGTAATCTTATAGAGCAGGAACAGAGCAGGTTGCTTATGAAACCGGTAGACTTTTGGCATAGTATTAGCCTGCAAACAAGCATCTTATTAGCTGAGGTCAAGCACTTGACTCCAGCTCCCTATTCTAATTTATCATCCATAATCATTCATCAACGGTGCTCAGGTCTGGGTTTTGTGCCGGACAGTCAAGTTCCTCACAGGGATGTTGTAATTTCAGAACAGAAGCACAGAATTCTGCACAACTGGACATGTAGTTTACTGCAGCCATACAGTGTTCTTCAAAACCCTTTCAGATTTGGGATCTGCCATTTATCAGAAGCCAACAATGACAAGGCGGAGCCTAGATTTAAACAAATTTGCCAAAGAGACTTACAGAAAACGCCAGAGCCCTGGCAAGGCCAGCACTTTCCACATTATCCAGATTATGTGTTCCTTATAATGGCACAATGATGAAATCAACTGAACATGTTTGTACTCAACGTCCTCATCTGCCATGATGTAGAATACCGTAGTAAACCCTGGTAAAGATCAATACATGAGCACATGCATCAGTGATAGAATGGGTGACACTAAACCACAACCTCCCACTACAGCGCGCGCACACACACACACAGGTTTGTTTTTGTGAAAAGTGGGGACATCCCATAGGCGTAATGGTTTTTATACTGTACAGACCGTATATATTCTATTGCCCTACACTGTAAAAAATTACCGTGAATTTAACGGTAAAAGACTGTAAAAATGCTACAGTAAAAACCTGTTAAATGGTTAACGGTAAATTCCCCTACTATATACGGTGAAAAACTGTATTGGACATTAATTTTACGGTAGTATACCATTTTTGGAAGTGAAAAACACCGTATAATTTACAGTGAATAACCGTAAATTGACATTCCCAGTATTCCCTGTGTTACATTTCAAATTTGATGTTTTTTTGTTGAAATAACTATGTTTCTTCTTATCAGTTTTGTATATTAGGGTTGTGTGTTACACCTAATGTTGTTAAATGA